GGGGTGGGCTTTCTTTACCTGCTGCTTCTTCCTCGGTGGCTTTTCGGCTGGGAGAACTGGCTCGACTGCTTTTTTTTGGTGGTATATTATTATTTTTACTTTCTTCCGTGGGAACTGGTTCTTTACTTTTTTCAAAGTCTTTTTTTAACTGTTCTAAATTTCCTTCATTTAATAACCTTTCCGGAGTTCAGCCTTTTGATTTGAGATAGGCGGCGAATTCAGCTTGTTTAGGTTTTAGCCCCACATCAATTCAACCTTTAACTTCTGGGTAGAGAAAATTGCGATTGGCTCATTCATCCACTAAGTTTTGGTTATTTTTGAAGTCTAAGTGAATGTTTTTTCAATCGGGGTTTTCTCGCTCTTGTCTTTCACGTTCTTGGCGTTCTCGTTCGGCTCGTTGTTGTTGTTCTTGGGCGTAGTTGCGGTGAAAACCATCTGAGGAGGGGACTTCTTCTAAATTAATGGGATTGTCATTGGGGTTGCCTCCTACTACGGTCGCTTTGGCAATTCAGGTTAAAATCTGCTCTTGGTAGGAATTAAATTGGGTTTGGTTTTCCGGAGGCGGGGGAGTATCTGAACCAAAAATTTTTTGGAAGATTTGGTCTCCATTTCCACCAAACTTTTCAGCTAACCTTCCTCTCACTTCCGCTAAGAAGTTTTCTCATTGAGCCTGACTAAGACCACCAGGAATATCTTTGGGCAACCAATCTAAGCGGATAAAAACATCAAAGACTTGAAAGCGAACTCGCAAAGTGTAGACTTTTTTTAAATATTCTTTAACCGCATTTAAGCGAGGAGAGGGGTCATTGGTGAGGTCAGGATAATTTAAACCGGCTCGACTCAGGACGCAATTTTCCACCGCACTATATAAACCTAACCGGACGGAGGAAAATAATTGTTCAAAAGAGCCACCACCAAAACCGCGTAATCTTTCGTATTGGTCAGCAAACAGATGCACCGCTTCGATAAATAATTCGGTGTAAGTATTGAAAGACTTGTAAATCATAGCATCTCTGCCGGTGGAAGCATTCCGACCGGGAAAATGGGGTTTTAGTTCTTCACAAAGCTCTTCAAAGGTGTCAATTTCTTGTTCCACAATCCCTTCTTTGAAAAATTGTTCCACAAAATAATAAGGGTCGGTTTCGGCCTCTTTTCCTTGTAAGAAATTTCAAATGGTAGGAGAACATTTTTTTATTCCGAACTCAAAATCCTTTTCCTCTTTATCGGTTAAGGGGGGTAGGTTCAAAACTCAAAAATCATCCTGAACCCACTGATAGGCTTTTAATTCTTGCTCATTTTCTATTTTTTCTAAATCTTGGGGGGTAAATTTGGCTACCATATTTTTTTTAATTGTTGGGGGTGGGTTAATTGGAGACTACTTTTCCTAGTCGCCAACATGTTTTCTCCGTGTATGTTGGCGAGGTTGTCGCTACGCTCAGGTTTTTTGGTTCTTGGGGTGAAGGTTTCGCTAACGCTCAGGCTACGCCTTATAAGAATTAACCGAAGGACATCATTGACATTGCTAATAGTCAACTAACTATAATTAATCAATCCTTTCAGTTTCATTTTGGCTTTTCGCAAATGACATTTACGATGTAAATCCCTCCTACAACGTTGATGGTGAAAAAAATCAGGGAGTGGATAAGTTTGGTTAAAATCATTTATTTTTTCTTATTAGGGGGCTCGTTGCTCCGCAACTCCGCGGGGTATTTAATAGACTTTGGCGGGGGTTTTTTAGTAAATCAACTTTTAACTTTCTGCCAGAAAGTAGGTAGTTTTTTCTCTTCCACGATAAAGAATTTATCCTTGATAACATCTTTTAAGGCATTGGGAACGGGGATTTTACCCGGAGGAACCGAAAATTCAGTTCGGTTTTTATTTAGTAGCGGTAATAAGGCTTTAAAGAATTTCGTGTCATAATTTTGGAAATCTTTTTTTTTGAGGAAAATTTTGTATTCTTTAATATTCAGTCTTTTTTTAGCTTGGTCATAATCACCACCAGAGAAGAAAGAAAAGAGACCACCCTTTTGGTAGGGAGCCATATTGGAACTTCATTCTTCGGCTAACTTAATATCTTCATAAGCTTCAATTCTTAACACACTACATCAAGGTAAGAATAATGGAGTATAAATACCTTTCACTTTAAAGTAGATATTGGCGATATCTCTGACTGCCACTCATAATTGGTTGGTGCGTTGAACACTGAAAAATATTTTTTTATCAAAGTGTCTAGCCAGAGCGGCAAAATCTTCAATTCCCGAATGTTCTTTACGGTTTTTTTCAACTTGAACACCGCGAAAGTATAAATTAACTTCATCCACAAAATAATTGGCGGGACTTTCAGGGATTTTATACTTCCCACGCACATCCATGTAATCCATGAGTAATACTTTATTTCCTTTTTTCTTATGTCAGAAATTAGTATAAGTATTATCCAATCGATTAACTAACCAGGAAAAAAGGAGACTTTTTCCCTGTCCCAGTGAACCAAAGACGACCGCTAAACTCACTTGTTCTTTCACTAAACGCTTAAATTGATATTGCTTTCATCAGATCAGGAGAAATTGGACTAACCCAATTACTACTAAGATAATTAGGGTTCATTTAATAATAGTATTGGTCATTTGATTTTAAATTAGGAAGTGGTTTTTTATCACTCTAAACAATTAAGGATAAAGCTCATTACTTTTCAGACAATTCAGAGTAGTTTGTAGAGGATAAAGACTACGATTAAGGTGGAGACCAGCATAATTATCTGTTCGCTACCTTTACTTTTAGCCATTCCTAAACCATGATGGACAATTTTGCCAATCAATTCGGGAATAAATTTTAACGAGCCATTTTTGAATAAATCTTGGTAGGACATTATTTTCTTTTAAACATTCACCTAATTACTCAGTAAGGAGTTAAAGCCAACATGACTAAGCATCAGAAGCCAAACATTAAAGCAATTAATCACAAAATATCTTTGGCGAATTGCCCCTCAATTTTGGCTCCATTCATTTTTTCGGCTAAACTTAAAAAGACTTGATAAATTCCAGTCATACTAGACAATAGGGGGTGGCGAAACCTTATTTTTTATAGTCATTACGGTCTTTATAAAGTTCCGCATAACTTTCTAAGGAGCCTTTTTTGCCTCAGGGTTTTTGCTCATCCAATTCTTTTAAAAATCCACTATAAAAGACTTCCTCACCGGCTAAATCATTACTCATTTTAAGCACTATTTTTTTATATTCTTCATTATTTTTTTGATATTTAACTAGGTATATTTTCATATTATTATATATTCGAATTACTTATTCAGTAATTTCATTTTCTTTTGCTCAGTATTCGGCTCAATGTTGTTGAACTTTCGGACAGACATATTTTTGTTGGGGGTCTGCTTGAGCTCGCTTACAAGACCAGCAACCATTTTTATAAATTAATTGTTCCATAATCTTTACTTTAAACGTAATTAAAAATTACTGGCTTCAACGACTTTCTTGGCTTCATAATCGCGGAACTTGTTTGCTAGACAGCCATAACAAGCCCCTAAATTGGGACTTCAACGAACTCAAAATTGTTTGGTTTCTTTTTCCTTTTCACAATAGATACAAATTCTAATCATA